GAAGGCCGTCCGAATAGCCGGAGCACCGGGCAGTCGGCAGACAGACTAACGGCCAAACACTTCTCTCTGATACAGCGAGGTCCTTAAGCTGAACACACTGAGAACCACAACTTCCCCTCAAACGGGTGGTGGTTGAGTGGGGGTGGATAAGAGCGCTTTATGAGTGATTTTAGCTGTTTTGAGGTAATGCCATTTTGCGGGATGCCCGTTTTCCAGCATATATCCATATGGTAAAGGTATTATACCGTACTCCCGACATAGATACTTGTTAAAAGCCCAGACACGTGTTTCGCCGATATTCTGCCGCCGCGTAACACAGCTGCGAGGGGTTCGGCTCTTCAGTGGGTCCCCCAGCGTCATCTACGCGGTTTCTGGTATATGAACTCCAGAGAATAATTAGGCAAATAATTTCAGGAATTATTCAGTGCAGGACATGGAGTTAATGGGCATTACGTGGTTATTCCACAGTAGTTAACTCGAATGTTCATTGAAATTTCGGGTCATGCCTCGGAGACTTAACTCCGTGTTCTGCACTGAATACTTTCTGAAATTATTCGCCTGATATATATACATGTCAGCGAGGTGGGACGACAGAGGATGAGAGTTGATTGATACAGTACTGTTTCGGGCTTATTTTGCCCTCTTTCAGCCAATCATAACCCTGACCAGCAGCTGGGATCAGAAACACAAACATGCTCACAGACGCACCTGACGCAGTTGGTCCACTACTGGGGTCTACCAGTTGGGTTATAAGCACTTCGTCGAGCCGAATTTCATCAGTGCCTCGCCACCTTTCATTCTGTCGCTGCAGATCGGGTATTTATTCAATCAGGAATGGGCGCACATCGATCTATTGGCTTCACGAAGCAAATAAGCTCCGCATGGGTGGCAAAGGTCACGAACAGGCAATCAATTACCGGGCCGAAGTCGGCCAAGTCATAATAGCAGAGAGAAGGAACGACAGAAAATGCGGCTAGATTGATACAGTACTGTTTCGGGCTTATATATATATAATGATAGAAGGGCGTGCACAGATCGTCTTACGGAGCTCACTCGTCCCGTTGTGCCTTAGGGCTCCCTCTCGAGCCCAGCCAGCAGCCGCACAGCGGCGCATAATGTAGGCAGAATGATATTACCGACAAAGACAAGGGAGTCTGGAATGGCAATTTCTGACTTGTTGGCCGTCGTCAGCCAGTCATACCCAACCCCGAGGTGTGGAGCACCTGGGGCTCGATCCCGCGACCTGTTGATTAGAAGTCCAACGCCCCTAACCACTGAGCCACGGGCTCGTTATCTTGTCGATTGCGACCGGGTATATACAATGGTAGAAGGACGCAGTTTCTGAGTTGAGAAGCTCGGTCACAGTGTAACCCCAACATCCCGACAGCTGGCAGTACTCGCACTCTATCTTCGCTTGTATCCGAGTTCTGAGCAAAAATATCTGGGGCCATAATGGGATTAATACAATGATCAGTTCACCGCTGACGATTTTGCAGACCACGCGAAAGATAATAGAAGATTTCAAGCTTCGTATACAGAAATTTAACTTTTTTATGAATCCCAGGCGGGCGCCAGAACCCTGTCCCACCCCCACCCAATGTCCCGTTAAAACAACACACGCAAAAGGCGCATAACTTTGAATTTTACACGCGCAGAAATAACAACAGACGTAGGCTCGAGGAGGCGAATAAGTCACGAGTACCACCAGTTCCCCTCCCCCCAGTCTCGTTTGGACGAGCTGTTGCGACTGAAATGCCTATCGACACGCGGGGGGATGAGAGGAAGACACTATTCACTCCCCCCCCCCCATAATTTCATTCATCGCGTCAGGGAAGATGACAAACAACATCGTTCGGTTAGCTCTGGGGAGAAACAACGCGTCTGTCGGGCTCCCACAGATAAAACTGCGCAGGAAATTCCCGAGTCCGCTTTTATGCTTCTGGATTCTGAGGTTGATGCTCGCAGAAGTATCTTAGCGACTTCTGTCCCTTAACGATGTGTTACAAGGATACTATGCGCTTGGCAGAATTTTTTATTTCAGTAATTATGAGAGTTTTTGTGGGTGACCACGGCGAAGCAGAAACCCCCAGGGCAAGGCGTCTGCGGCTGCGAGACGAAATCGATAAATTGACCTCCGGATTTGTGTTGGTTGCTCTAACTCTGGGCCATCGCAGTAACGTCTGATGAGTGTGCGGACTAATCGATGGTTACTTACCATCCCATTCTCAAGGCAAACTTATTTTTTAGTCTGAACGACTGTTCCAGCGATGCGGGCTAGGGGTAAAAGATTGGCCTGCGGGGAACTGCTAGATGTCGAACCAAGAGAAATGGAGACACCTGTGAAAGAAACACAGTAGCCGCCATCAATCAAGTCCTTTTAGGCACACAGAAGACGGTAAGTTGGACCCAACCAGCCAATGTGACCTTAACTAATTCTAAGTCAACAAACGGTAAAGATTATTGTATACAGCATATATGCTGAGAAGCAGAATCAAGTTTGGCGTAGTGCAGAACGGCGTCTCCCGAAACGATTGATTTCCGAGGAAATTATTGCAACAACTCCCCGTGAGGGACGTAGACGGCATCAGGTGGAACAAGTAAGGGGAGTCTTAACAGTTAATAACTGTGACGGTTTCCCCCAAAAAAGAGAAACGGCAGATGACCAGGGAATATGGACAAAGACACAAGTCCGCGCTTAAAAGGACCTGCATTTCCAGTGGTCACCCCCCTTCTCGATGCCCCCATTGACAGTACGTAGTAGATGCTTGGGTGAGTTTAGACAGACACCGACACGCCTACGATGGCTCGTCGGTCTAGCATGACGTTTACCTCGCTAACCTAGGATGCAGTATTGACTGTCACATAATTCAGTCAGGCAAAGCATAGACGTTGCTGTTTCCGCCGGAGCTAACTCATGAAATGACAACCGAAATTCCGAAATGCGTATTCGTTTCGAAAAGTTTAATTAAGGTTGTAAAAAGTCAGCCTGCAACATAATTGTATAATATTTCAGTTAGGCCAGGATGCAGGATTTCGAATGAACTTCTTTCCAGCTGCATGCAAAAACTACACTCTGTAAAAATGACTACTTAAGTAGCATTCATTTTTCTCATTGGTTATCGATGCCCCTAAAAATTCAATTATATTTCATGGAAAACATGCATAAAAATATTCATTCTTTTGCTCATTCGGTAGAAAATGACGTCTTCTTCCAAGTTCATCCCCGAAGGAAGGGTATAATACGGTTTTCAAAAACTTTTCCAATTCCCGAATAATTTTTAACCCAACCTGCCGTTACATTTGCATTCAGGGTTTTCAAACTACATGCCGTATATTTTCCGCGTAAGGAAAATCACACATTTCTCTACGGTACTAAAGGGGAACCATATAGGGTTCATAAAATTTAGCCGTGGATTTGATCCATACTGTTAACTTCACATTTATGAACGGACATTTCACGGTACTTAGAAGTCCCACAATTAGAAACTTTTGTAAAACCAAATTATACCCTTCCTTCGAGTATAAGACTGGAAGAAGACGTAATTTTCTACTGAATGAGTCAAAGAATGAATATTTTTATGCATGTTTCCATGAAATGTAATTGAACATTTAGGGGCGTCAAAAATCAATGGAAAAAAATCGTGTTACTCAAGTAGTCCCTTTATACAGAGTGTAATTTCTGCATGAAGTCGGAAGGAAGATCGTTTGAAAGCCGGCACCCTGGCGTAACTGAAATATTATGGAATTATGTTTCAGGCTGACTATTTTTACAACCCTACTTAATTAAGCTTTTCGAAACGAAAACGCATTTCGGAATTTCGGTTGACATTTCATGAGTTTGCCCACCTACTGCACCTACGTGGTAATGGGAGACAGGCGCGGCGGATGACCGGTGACCGACTCCGGGTGTCACAACGTGGCTGCTGGACTCGTGACTGTAGCCGCCTGAGTCGTTGGATGACCCAAGGCGGCACAGACGCTTGACAGGAAGGTCGTCAGTCTGGAAATTTAAACCCGTCTGCGCGAGCTAAAAAAAGAATGCGAGACACTGTTATTAGCGGACCAAATTTCGCAAACAACTTCGACCGCGTTGAGGAGACACACCGGCTATCTCCCATCTGATTCCTCTCGCCGGCTCAAATGGTTATCACGGTTTGGTCGCTGCAGTCAGTTTAGCTCTGAGGAGTTACAGGTTAGAGTTAGGCACCAGGTGGGATCAGAGTGTAATAAGTACCTAACTTCCGTTTGCACGCCCCATAGACCCTTACTCCACAACCACCGCACGAATCAAGCCCCGATGACTGTATGGAAGCGGTTGACTTCAAAGACGTTTGGATGCTTATCCTGTACGCAATCATTTTCATGCCCTCTACGATTACTCTTTGGTGCTACTTGGTAGAACAGAGGTCAGTAGGAGACATCGCGCGGAGGGTCGTGCCCCGGTGTAGGAGGAAAGTGTGGGGGGGTCTCTTTAAAGGGTGTGCTCCATGGCCCCACTAACAGCGCAGGCGGCCGACGGAGACCGTAATGGATGTTTCTGCCCTGTTCGACTTCATCAGTCGGCCACGCGCTGACCGGTGACAACAGGTGCCTGGAGGGAGATAGAGAGGGCGGGGAGGAAGGGGAAATATGAGGCAGCGCCGTGGCAGAGACATCGACAAACTTTGTCATACTGTAGTGTCAAACAACTCTCCAACCAGGACGTGACACAAGTGAGGTAAAATTAGGCTGAAAAAAAAACAAATCGTTATAGACAAACCGAGAAGGCAGTGGGCGGGGGGGGGGATAACAACAGCAGCTTGACAGTCCGGAAAACAGAGGGCACTGAGGAGGAACAAATGCAAGTGTCCACAACACAAAAGAGGCCCGAGGGAGTCACAAAATGCAGTTGAGGCAGAGGGGGAGGACAGAGAGAGACGGAGAGGAAACTGTGAGTCGTGATGAAGTGCGAAAGTGTCAGATCGGTGGGGGTGTGCCGGTGAAGTGGATGCCGTCCGCCATTACGGTGAGTGTTCCTGCTGAAATAAAAGTGGCAGGGGGAGGGTGGGAGAATTAAGGACAGGAATGATATCGTTGAAGATTTACGAAGACGACATGCTCCATAAAATAAAAATTCCACAGTTTCCAAGGGTCTGTTTGGTTGTCCTATTTTTGAACCGTATCCTACCAAAAAAGTGTTTCAATTTTACGGACAAATGATGCCTTGTCATTGCACGTCTTACCCGTCAGGGGTGACGACATTGTAAATATCATCAAACGACGGTTGAGATACACCACTGAAAGGACATACAATGCAGCCGAGGACATATTCAGCAGCCCTACTCTCTAGGGAAAAGGATTTCTTGCCAAAGCAAGACAACTCAAATGGTGTTTATGAATTAAAGTGCGCTTGTGGGTACAAGGACATGGGCAAACGTAAAGGCAACTGGCAGCCAGATCTGTTGAGTGCCTGCCTAACTGACTTTAAAAGCCGGAAAATAGAGTTCCTCATTCTTCTATCATGCAACGCCCCCCAGATAGGATTAACTTCGTCAACTCCAAAACATTCTTCCGAGTACTTGTTCGAGCACGAACGATTCGGGCATTGCGCGCTACTTGGAGGCAGCCTACATGCGGCGAGAGAACCCCGACCTACGCAAACAGATGGACCAAGTGGTCAACCCTGGTAATCCTCAGTCCCCTTTTTGTATGATAACTTTCCATTTTTCTCCTTCCTAAATTAAGTTTACAAGTTACCATTTTCATTGATTAGACCGTGTGCACTAGACAATAACCATGCTGTTTTGCATTGTTTTTTTTTCTGTGAAAATTCAAATTGCTGTGTGATTCTTATTCGTTATCTGTACTATACAGTGACGGGTTGCAGCTGATAGGTGGTCGCGAAATTTGTTGGTGCGAATAAATTCTGCTATGTATGCTTGTGGTACATTCATACCAGGAAAAAATGCGTCCAATTACTTTAAATGAGAAAGTAAGAACATCAAATTAAAAGTCGAAGGCACAAGAGGAACACTAGCGTTCACACACAGATTCAACGTATAGAAACACAGTTTATCACAGCAGTCAACGAATCTCAGAGATCTATTCAGAACGAACTGGCATTTTGGCTACTTTTAGAGTGAAATAGGAATAGAAAGGACGCCTGTAAGCCTTAAGGGCGACGGGTTAAATTGTACAGTGTCACTGTGTGCGTCAATGGTTTTTTTTAAAAGCCTTTACGTCATTCAAGGTCAAATGGTCTAAAAGCGTGTGCTATGCCAGTAGTGGTGGGTTATGGGACTGACAAACCGGTTTCAAACCATAAGCAACAAGCGACTGATAAGCGAACAGGGTAAGACAACAGAAACCGCAAAATGACTGGATTACTGAGCTCCATGTGGCATTACAGGGCTGTAACGACTGAACTTTTGCGCTGATTTTGGTTGGTTGCGTGAAATTGACGATGCTGACGGTCGTCTGACAGTCATGCTTCTAGGTCAAAAGGTCCGAAAACGAGTGATATGCCACTATCAACAAATCATGGCCCTCGCAGCCTGGTATGCGCTGGCAGTTCCTTGACACCTGGTTCCCTGACAGTAGATGCGCTTGCGCTTCTGCTGGGTATACAAGTGGTGGGCATGGCTGCCAAGTCGTTCGCGTCCTTCTGACCCCTGCTGGGGTGTTGTTGGAAAAAATCCTGGTCAAGTGTATGTTGTGGACCAGGGAGTGTGGTAGCACGCCTAGGTGCGGGTCCGACCATGCCACCCACCTGCGCCCTCCACCGCCTCCTGTCTTCTTGGCTCTGTCTTGACACCGGGTCCAGGTGGGAGAGGAGAGGGTGCGGTAGATGCTGCGCAAGTCCACTACCACTATAAACTAATACACGCGCAAGCTCACCGAGCCTGTCGCACCCTGCTGTGAGGCACACGGTGGATATCGTCGGACTCGACGGTCGAACTGTCAAAGGTCATTGAAGACCTCATAATCATGGCCTGACGAACATAGCCTACACTTCGTTGACGTTTGGTTAAACCAAAGGATCCTCTACCTTATTACAAAAACTCCTCCTTAGTCTGCAGAGATAGGAATCGCGATTGCCTTATGCTGATCGGATGCAAGCTGCAAACTCGACCACGTGAACACCAACTGGCGACGGGGCGCGCAGCTCCAAGCCCGCAGACTCCCACAGGAGATAAGAGGATTCCCAGTTGAGGGCTCGCATGCGCCGAACGATTCTATCTTAGGCGGTCCCACCTCACCCACTACAACCTCCTAAAACGTCATGCTATAAGTAGAATGGCCAGCTTCGATACTTCTATAAATAACAAGGAATTTCTCCACATTTAGTCTTCACCAACGGACAGTAGACTCAAAAGCCTGAGACCTCAGACACCATGTAAAACTGTCCTAACTATCTGCCGTGACTTTCCAATCAGTGCGGAGAAATAACTGATAACGGGGTGCTCAGACCGCTACATAGATAACAACGACTTTCAGCGTCTCCGCAGTCCGCGACAACGGATGCCCGAAATATTTAACTTACTCAACCTGAGATCCAGTTTTGAAAATGCAAATTTGTATATATACATATATATATTAAAGAAAAACACCTGGCCAATTTTACTAAGATTCCCTGGATTTCGGTGGGATAGCATCATAAAACGAAAACCATCTAATCACTGACTTAAAATCAAGAAAATTACGGACTTATGTAAATATAAAAGTTATTGCTCGTGGGTGGTCTAACAGCATATACTTTATTTTAAAGATTCATAAATCAGTAAACAGAAGTAAGTGTGAAGAAGAGGCAGAGATAGGTCCCTTTATTTGGTTGGACTGGGGGAGGGGGATAAGGGGGGCAATACATTGTAATTTTGCTAAGGGACGAGGCTTGTCAACAAACAAGACCGGCGATTATTTAAACGGTATAAAAATGCAGCTTATATTGCCCGAAAGTAAAAGGGTTGTTTCCGCCTGCACTGAAACAGACCGGGTGGTAGTTTAAATGAGCCTCTGACCAGTAGAGCCTCCGAGTCAACTGGTCGTCAACAAAACGGCCTACTAACACAATTTCAGTAGCCATACAATACCTCATATCAACCACGTCCAAAAGCGTTAAGACATGCGATTAAGTTGGTTAACTTTTGACACATTTTTCATGCTGATGTGGGTGTAGAAGCACTTTTAAACAACAAGCCGAACGAATAGGAAGAAGCATAGACGTACCAGGAATCGGGACTCCTGGCGGGCAGAAGAGGTGGAAATGCGCTTTCGCGGAGTGCGGGACTCGACTACGCCAGGATGAACATGAAACTGCGACCTGATTGAACGACCGGAGCTGGGTAGCACAGGGATCTCGCGTATCATCATGGCTGCCTTCACGGACCATCGTAGGGAACGACGATCATTCTCACCGGGCACAAGAGTGTTGCGCCATTGACGTCTGTAGGCATGAAAGAGAGTGACGGGGTCGGCGCGGATACGCGTTCCACATGCTCGGCTTTGCTTAACAACGGAATAACAACCACCGCTGTCATCACATCCATAGGAGTCAGCGTTCAAACTCAGAGTTCTCGAGCGGAGAATGGACTTTCGTCTTGGCGCGGCAGCCGACTGGTTTGTTGGTGGAGCTGCGTTCTGCGTGCACAAAGGCGTGAAGATGGCAGTTAGTAGAGGTTGGGGTTGATTCAAAGTCTTAATGCCATCAGATCGGGTCGAAAACCCTGATGATACTACCGAGAAAAATTACGGCAGAAAATCATTTAGGCATGATGTGTGGACTGTGTTCAGATTGAGCTCCCTGCGTGTAAGTATTGAAAACCAACTTACGTAGCCAGCTTTAAATACAAGCCCGCCGGAGGATTTCAGCAAAGATTTCACGACCTTGGAAACGTGGTACATTGGGCGTTGTCTGCACCTAGTAAGTGACAGATGCCACGAAATGTTGACCGAAATTCTGAAATGTGTTTTCAATTGGAAAGGATTACCTAGGAGAAGTTGTAGGACTGATTACTGTGCGGCATAATTCCGCAATATTTCAGTCACGCCAGGATGCCGGCTTTTAAATGAGCTTCTTTCGCGCCACCTATGTAAACCACACTCGGCGGAAGATGGCTACTTAAGTAGCACGCAGTTTCCATCCAGCTTCGCTATGTTTGTAAAGTATAATGCGTTTTACTGTCATGTACTCATTTGGTAGAGAATTACGTTTTCCTCGGATTTTATATCCAAAGAACGGGTATCTTTCAGTTTTAAATTCTTTTTCAAATTCCGGATCATTTTGAATCCAACCTGCGGCTACACTTGCGCTAAGGGTTCCAAAACCCATGCTGCAAACTGCCCGTGTAAGATAAATCGGTAAGATGATAGTTGGTAGCCGTGCCCACACACTCCCCAATGGTACCTAGTGGCTCGATTTCAGTAGCTGTGATTGCGTTCTCATTATGCTTCTAAATTCACGCGCACGCTGTATTACCTGTATCAGATTCATTTTAGACGTGCTATCCTGGGCAGATTTGCACCGGTAACGATGACAATGAGGCTTACCCTATGTCAACTTTCATTAGAAGAGGTAGTTGGCTGCCGTGCCCACAGAATCCACAATTGTACCTACTGGCTTGATTTCAGTAGCTATGATTACTTTCTCATTATGCTTTTCAATTTACGCTGTATTACCTGTACCAGATTCATTGTGGAGGTATTATCCTGGGCGGATTGGCACCGGTAACGATGACACTGAGGCTTTCCCTACATAAACTATCATAAGAAGAGGTAGCTTTTGACTGCCTCATTCATTGTAGAGGTACTATCGTGGGCGGATTGGCACCGGTAACGATGACAATGAGGCTTACCGTTTATCAACTTTCATTAGCAAAGTTAGCTTTCGACTGCCTCATTATTTGCGGATTTTCTCTTCAGCCCAAACCAATTTTTCGCATAAAAGTCTTACCCGGCTTACGTTGTGGCGTTCCGCGTGCCGCTGCTTGACTCTCGTGTTCTTCTGTCCATTATGTTGGGTGGAGTTCTATCGCACACACTGCGGAATGACCTTAGGACCAGTTGCCTTCTTCCCATTGGTTGTTCGCCATCACTTGCTTTTCTTTCCAATCTGAGGCTAGGATGCATTTATCCCGCACACCGTTCAAAGTCTCCTTGCTCATTTCCATACCTTCCTTGTATTTTTAACCTAATCTAAATTAGGCTTCCACTTTACCTGGAGCGTCAATTCCTAGCATATACTACAATCGCCAGTTACCCCTCCACTCAATTGTCCCACCCGTATAGCCCTATTACCACCGATCCCGATTGACAGGCAGCTGGGAGTTTGCGGTGTCAGAAGGACTACCAAGTATCATCTAACCGATAAATCATATGTTTCCCTATGCTATTAAAGAAGATGTCACATAGGGCTCATACTATTCTACAACGGATGCAGACCGTGTTGAATACTTAATAAGCAGCAGTAGTAGACGTACTGGTACAATTCTTTGTGAATAGACACCTCACGGTCTTGAGAACGACATTACTACAAACTATTTTTGGAACTCTAAGTTGCAATTTTTTCAAGCATCAAATTTTAAGACATGAGATGAGTATAGAGAAGAATTTTATGCGTGTTTTCTATAAAGTATATCTGAATTTATGAGGATATCGAAAGACAACGGAAAAATATCACTCAACTTAAATAGTTATATGTCGCCGAGTGTGATTTATACAGGCAGCGGGAAAGAAGCTCATTTAAAGGCTGGCGTTCTGGTTTGGCTGAAATATTCCGGGATTATGACGCACGATAATCAGTACTACAGCCCTGACTAAGTAATCCTTACCAGTAGAAAACACACTTCGGAATTTCGATAGACTTTTCATTAGATAGCCTACTTGCTGTAATTGGATCGAGATAGTTAGGTAAGGATGATTTAGGCCGACGCTACACAAGCCTAGCTTGCTGTAGCCTAATGACCACGTAAGAAATCACCGGTCACCCAAAAATAGTGGCGTAACTCGTTTTGCTGGACGAAGGACCCATAAGACATGACCAGACATTTTTTCTGCCGGCCTTTGGCCCCAAGTGCGCCTTGGGTCTGCGAGCGACCCAAAATACCGAAAAATAGAGTGCTTTTTCCTGCAGACAAAACGCAGGCTTCATTACTTTCCGAGAAAACAATTTCTCAGAGAAACAAATGCATGAACTTAGAGTTGGAGACACGGGCGAGGACCAGACATCGGATTATTGAGGACATCTCATTAAAAATAGAACTAACTCGATCCAAGACAGAGGCTCACTTTCGCTTGTTCCGTCCGAAAAACTAGCGAACGTTTCGAGATTGCCGTAGGATCCGGCCAATTCCACAGACACCTATCTTCTCAGTTCAGCAAAAATTATCAACGGGTGCTTTCAAAGATGGATTAGAACAGGGTAGTTTTTAGTGCCTAATTATTGGGTCGTTAGGACATCAGTCTGAGAACATTCATAATAAATGTCCAGTGTTATATGATTCACCATACTGACAGTACAGACACTAGCTAAAATTCCAGATCAAGTAATTTTCTGCCAAAGACCAGGTGGTAAGGCAGAACACACTCTTTCATCGCTTTTAGTGGGACAATCGCCAAAAAGGAGGCCGTACTTTCCCACAAGACGTGCTAACGACTGATTAACACCCCAATACCGTGACATTTTGGATAGTAGACAATGACAAAGCCATCGAAGGCGGTAACTGCGGATTCCGAAGGAGGATAAAATGTGCTACTAACATGAATTCAACAGATCCTTTCGGGTACAGATGAAAATTTTCCCAGTGCAAATGAAATGAACGATTTTTTCGACGTTATTTTGCAAATGCCACACCTTTTTCACATTTAGGTCCCACCATTAGTTTTATGCATTCTGCGCACTGAAATTACAAGTAAGATTTTTGCAGTTTAACTCCTTTCATTTACACCTGTACGGTTTAAATAGAGTTTCCAGGACTTCTGTCATTTACTATAAAAATATACTGACTGACTGATCTTCTCCACACCCACTACTAGAGTTCGCAAGGAGTGCCGGACAGGAATCAGTACAGGTAGTTTGCTGGATATCACGCTACTGAAATGGAATAAGTAACCATGGCATGCGTACATTTGTGTGTCGGGAACAGGTGGGCAGATGGTTAGAGGTGGACCGGCGGCGT